AATCATCTCTATACTGAGTGTTCCTGTTCATTTATAACATGAGGACAGAGTATGTTTACTATACCTACAACTATGAATTAACAGGAGGTGATGTAGATCACTTCCCATTCATTCATAATTGAGGATATAGTAGCCATACTCTGTCCTCAATAATTTACAAGCACTCAGCAATCACTGATCGTTGAGTGTTTGTACTCACTCTCCTCTCTGACACGCTGTCACAGGAGGCTGAGCAAGCGGAGCAGGGAGGAGAGCTCAGCCTCCTGTGACAGCGCGGGCTGTCTCCGCCCCCACACCGCTCTGCCGGACTGTGATAGGAGGCTGAGCGGTGTGGGAGGAGAGACGCCGGCCACTCACATCGCTCTCCTCCCGCTGCGCTCGTCCGGCTGTCACACTTTCTCTACTCCCCGCTGGGACACAGAGCAGCGCCCAGCGAGGAGGAAAGAACTCACGGATGCGCCGATGTATCGGCACAAAAATAGCACTTTCGGCATTTAGCCAAAAGTGCAATTTTCGGCCAATATGTTTTGGCGGCCAATATATCGGTGCATCCCTAATGTATACGGTTATGTCTTCTGAGCTGTAGATGGCGCCGTAGTGCAATGTTACCCTCTATGAGCATGCTTTTCTATGATGCACAGGAAGCTGTTTTTTCTATGTGTTTTCCTCACGATGCTGTGTTCACATGTTTTATTCTTCTAAGCAAGTAAAACTTAATTCAGCATTCCTCAAGATCTCAGTGCTTCATCTAAACACATAACCAACAGGTTATGGGCCCAGACACTAAATGGAAGTCAACAAGAGCCGCATCCAAGCTACTGAAAGATGGCAAGTAGTTCAGATATGAAGTTTGTCATCGCAAAGCTCAACATTAACCAACAATATGAAAAAGAAAACCCGCTACATGAATTAGAAGTTCATTCAGTCTTGAAAATGTCCCAAAAATGTATTTCAATTCTATAAACATGTAGCATGCCATCCATGGCCATTTGAACTACAAACAGATGATTTTTTTTTTTACCCTATACTATGCAATAAAAATGTCTTTCACTTTATATCATTTTTATGAAAAGCCTTTGCCATACACATGACAAGTGAGATTTGGTCAGCAATGTGTTGACATATAGCTGTTATAAACTCATTCAGGAAAAATAGTGAACACACAGGGAATATTTCAGGGAAATTGAATTCTGGAAGAAGTTTGAAAGGATATACTTTAGCACAATCAACCTCAGGCTGCAAATTATATAAATATTGTCCTGCAGCCACAGCAAGCTTGTCAAACAGACCATCATGGGTCGGATCTAAAATGTATCTTCCCTTTTTCCTAAAGCAACCCTGTCAGAGGTCATAATAATCCAAATAAGGGTGCCCTGCAAGAGAAGAAATATTTTACTACCCTCCATTTCAGTGCGGAAGTCTCTGTCAGTGTTTTCTGCATTTGACACTTCTAGGGGTGTCGGATGCCTGCTGCCCCCCCCCCCCCCCCCACAGTGCACTGGTATGTTCCTCAGACCCCTGGGTCATTATGGGACTATAGTGGTTGGAGGATTGAGCCTTGCTGAGTGGCCAGGGAAAACAGGTAAACAAACCACATTTACATTCACCACATTTAATTCCTTCAAGAAAACATTTCCATCCTGCTCCTTCAAGTTTTTTCATCACTACAGTCGAAATCGACTTGACCCCATCAACTAATAGAAAGACAAACGAAAAATCTTCCGCATGAACGTTCTTTTGAAAATCTAAGCCGTGTAAAATATACGTAAATTTTACCCAGGATTTACATGTTTTCACTTGAATCCAATTAGAAAATGTGTGAATCAGGCGTGAAAGCAGTGTGAATCATATGTACAAACATTTATCAATGGATCCCTTCATTTATCACTTAACATTAATATTGTCCCTAACCCTTTACCTCTGGACCACTGATCCCAACATTTAACCCCCGAAGTGTATCAGAAGCCCAATCTTAACTTGGATAGATTAGTGAGGGTTTACAGCCCTTGTAGGGTTCTTATTGCTGATTGTGTCCCCTTTAGGGAGATTTACCCTCTCTATTTGTCCTGGTGACCATTTTCACCAGGGCTAAAAGTATAGGAAAAGCTAAAATTTTGCATTGTTACCAGAACAGGAAGTGGGGGGAAATATTCATTGGGGACTTCTGATCCAGTGACAACCATGAAGGGGAAAATGTAACTTTGGATCAATTTCCTGCCACTACCTTAAGGTAGTAAGTGAAGCGAACTCTCCTCAATGGGACACAAATGGCAAAAGAAACCAGACAGGTACTTAAAGTGTAGTTCCACTTTTGCAGTACAATTTGAGAAAATCCCTCTATATGGTGTAGGTCTTTGTGCAGATTGCAGGCTATTCTGAGTAGTTTAAATGTGAAAGTAGAGGGACAAACTGAGGGACAGACTGAGCTTCCTCTCATTAACCTACAATGCTTCTATGCCTTTAACCCTTTGTTAGGACAGACAGTGTTCAAATCTAGTTTAGAACTAATAATGAAATCTGTACAGACAGGGTTAATTAAACATCACTTCCTCCAGCCCTCCTTTACATTTCATAGAGAGGAAGATAGGCAGGATTTTAAGCAAATATAAAGTACTTACACGTGTAAGTTATTCTATGTGAATGAGAACATGTAACAAGTTTAAAGGAAGTGTTATCCCAATTTGGCTGCAAAAAACACTGTAACCCCTTCAATTACTTACTTTACCCAAAACAAAACAAAAAAGGCTTGCGCCAAATGGGAAGCCTATATTACTGTTTATATCTCCTTTTTAATTATTGTTTTGAAAAGCTATCAAATAAATGTTGTGATGGTTTTAAGAATAGATCTGAATGCTTTTTGCTTTATTCACCTTTGAGAACTAATAAGAATTGTTTACATTGTTAACATTGCATTTTAGTGCAGCAACATATGTTTTTGAGCTGACATTTTGATATATTGCACCTTTAAACTCTACAGCATATCCTTTTTAGGATTTTGCACCACTCTAATTTACATAATGTTCTGTGCATCGCCATCTTTTATGAGCCTCGGGCAGTAAGATAAGTTAGACCACCCTGATTTTGGTCCTATGAGACTATCAAAATGGAGTCAGCTGCAGCCATTTTAGAAAAATAGTACCTCGTAATGGACCCCTTAGGAGTAAACTTCCTTCCTTTATGGCACAAGGGAGCCATTTCAGTGTGATATATCTATATGTAGAGTTGTGCTTAAGTAAGACAACACAGCTGCTATGCATTAAAGCCAGAGAATGTACATGCATTTATATCACGTTTAACTTGCTCTTTATGATGCATTGGCGAGTTATTATCGGCTTGCATTACTAAACAAAGGACTGAGCAGATGGAGGAGGCTAAGCTCTGCCTGATGGATTGGTACTATTATATCTCACACACACACGACATGATTAAGACTTTAATATACAAATCCTGATTGCGCCTTCAATAAGCGACATTCAACACCGCACAAGTGTACGTTTCATTGATACATGCGCGTTTCATTAGGAAGTGGAACGTTAAGAGTTCCAATGTAACATAAGACTGGTTAACGGTGTGTAACTTCTTCAACTTGTAAGCAGTTAAAGAGTATTTGTAAAATAAAGAGACATTTTCTAGAAGCAGATCGTACCAAGTGTCTCTATGTACAGAGGATTTATATCTGTTATTAGATACGTTCAGGGCTGTCCCTTTAATGAGGGGGCTGTTGTCTCAGACGGCATCTCTTCAGGTCGTGGGGGGGTGGCAGGCAGAGCAGCATGGAAATGTGCCTTAAAGAAGAAATCCGGGGGAAATGCTTTCTTAACCCTTACAGTGGGGTTACCCCACACTGCAAGTGTTAAGTGCTCCTTTTGGCCTCGGAAGGAAAATAAAAAAGTTATACTCACCTAATACTCTGGGCCGGCTTGCTGTTAGACCAGTCCCTGGAGCCTTTCTCCTCCTCTGCTGCAGTGGTCTAAGGTGTTTTGGACATGAGGACGCCAAGGGAAATACCATTGTTGCAGTGGAGGAGGAGATGGAGGCTGGAGGGAGCACTGTCACAGTCAGAGTTATTTTAGATCCTAGATGAAAATGAGCACTTAGCCCTTGCAGTGTGGGGGTAGCCCCACTGCAAGGGTCAAGAATAAATTTTCCGGGAATTCTGCTTTAAATAGCTTTAGTTGTTCACTGAGTAATTTTGCTTGTTTTCAGAGGTTAAAAAATACCAATAATAATAATAAAGATGATAATAATAATAATAACAATAATATAATACACTTTTAAAAACAAGAAGTTAACTTACGGGTACATGCCATAGACTTGGGGTCCGACCTGGCTCTGTAGTAACCTCTCTCACACATGCATTCAGCTGAACTATCCTGCAGGGAGAAGCTGTGGGGTGGACACTTTGTACAGTATGAATCGGTCAGCAAAGCCTTGTAAAACCCCGGACGACAAGCTGAAACATAAAAAAAAGGAGCATCAGGTGAATGTGTCATCTCAAACAACATCAATGAAAGCAGGTTTAAATGACAGCCTGCATCCAGTACCCCCTGTGTGCTAAGCTGGCAGTGACAGAAATAGGAAGTGTAAGTGAAATGGTCCATTTAACTGTTATTAGAGTCTGATGACAACCCCCTGTGCTTCTTGGAGAGGATTCTTAACAGTACATGTGCAGCATATTTAATGAATTGCTGGAATTACCCAGTCTAAATAAATCTCTTGGTTCTATTGACAGATATAGGATTTTGAATACGCTTGTAGGAGGTAGTAAGAAGTTTTCTATGTGACATAATATATTACAGTTACCTAATATATCTGTATAAATATATAAAAATGTATTTATTTATACTACCCAACAAATAAAAGTGCCCAAACACTGTATAGCATGAAGTGTGATTTAAGTGTTTATGGTACAAATAGTATGTCTTTTTTTTAAAATACCTTAAAATGTACGTAACATGCCACATTATTGAACACTAAGATGCTGCACCTTGATTATGGACATACATACACACTTACATAACCCTATAACTTTCAACTGACTTGACAGAGGGAAATCTTCTAGGGCAATGCTTTTTGGCAATTGACATACCCCTGACACATCCCCAGTTATGTGTACCATAAAGAATGTACTGTATATGCCAAAAATGATTGGCTAAACCCAGAATTATTTATTTCACCATTTCTGGCTTATCAAAGTAGCATGCAAGATAATTAAGAGATAAGATAAAGTTTTTAGTGCAGAATAACAATTTAGGTAGTTATATAATACATTTTCATAGATGTCTGTACATCAGACCAAAGAAAGGGACATCTGAAGAGGAAAGAGGGACAGAGGGATCTGGTTCCAAATGAAGGACATTTGGGAGGTATGAATAGCCCTATGTTACAGTACGCTACATATGAACCGCACAAGCACAGAACATCACTGCTGCATCAGATTCCTGATGAACTAAAAAGACCTCTGTTGGCAATATAGAGCTATCACAGTAGAGGAGTGAACTCCCAATCTATTTGGGACAATTTAGTCCACCCAAGATTCCATGAGAACACTTGTAATGTCAACTTCACCATGGCCAGAAGTATTTTTTATTTTGTTGCTTTTTTCTTTGCCTTAGGGTAACGGGAGAACATGTACTAATCTCCTCTCATGACCCAAAGCTCGGTATATCGCGAGTAATACTGAGAGCGCCACAGCCGGGATTGATCCAGACAATACTGTCGAGGTCCACCCAGCTGCGTGGGTGACAGCTGGCTCTGATTGACGGTCACCGCTCACTGCAGGGAGACGATCGTGAAGTGAGCGGATCGGCGGCATGTTTCTGCTCACTTCCCGATCGATAGAGCTGACCTGTGACAGCTTCTTTGTCACAGGTCGGCTCTAACTATGAGGATGAGTGGTAATCACTCACCTCATAGTTCTCCTTTAAGATTGAGGATTAGGGCCACTCTATAGGGATAAGTTGTGGACTACAGGGTCATCTTTAATTCTAGAGAGGTATGTATGGGACTGAAGCTGAGGGTCACTTGTTTATATCTTGCACCAAGGACCAACTACTTCTCAAACATATACACTGACTTAATTAAATACCATCAAAGCTATATTTGTCTCAAAAAATAATATACAATTAATTAGTTTACATTGTTCCATGACCCAGTGAGTGTCAATCAATGATGACAGTGTATTACAGTTGCTGGATAGTCTTTAGCTGTTACTATGAGATTTAAACCTATATTTGTTTCTGAGGTCTGCTTTCCATTGCTGACCCAGCCTGCCCTTGAACTTGTCTCCGCTCTTCCTTCTTGTTGTTGACATCAGCTAGTTCTTTACCATAACCATGGCTTACCAGGGTGTCTGTAGCAGAGGTGTTAGGGAACCCCTCTTGTTATCTCAGCCTCTAGTACATAGATACATAGCACAGACCTATATGAGGATCTCAAGGGATGTCTTACTGTGGGTCCCGTTGCAAATGAAAAATGATTGCACTGTACCTTTTGCAGTGTTGCAAATAAACAATTATCACACTTCTTCTTTTGAGGTGTGAGCTACCTATATGTTACTGATCTTCATGAGAATTGCTCACCAAAGTCTATTTCCTCTCTCAGAATGAAGCAACCCTTAGAAGATGTGTCCTATATTGCAGACCTGACACATGACTCCTTAGATACAGGAGAAACTGCATTAATAAAACATTGTATCCTTCTGCTTCAATTCACTGCAAATCAAGGACACATTTTTACTGCAAAGCTTCACTAAGCTCGCTGAAACAACCTGAAAGAGGGGTGAGTGGAGAGATGAATGCAGAGTATTAAAAGATGGATTCTATGCACAAAGAAAAAAATGAGTACGTCTATAAATTAACGATCAACTGATGTTTTCTATAACAACCAGTCATATGTTAGCATCATTCTCTAACCTTCACTATACAATGTCAGCTATATACTACCTGGTTGTTGCTCATGGCAAGGTGTTGAATGCCAAAGAGTCTGATGGAGGCTGCAGGTAGGTTGGAGACAGGGGCCACTGTCACAGGGTCGTATTCAACTATTGTAGCCAAGGGGTCAGCGTGATTTATTTTTAGAAAGAAAGGTCAGAACTGTAGGCCCTATGTTTATCTCCTGACTTGGGTTACTTTCAACCACATTTCAGACAATTTTTATATCAAGAAGTGACATCATCCAATTTGTAGGTAACACCTAAAGCAACTTACATCCTTATGCCTATATGGGTTTAAAAAGTGTCCATTGTGGCCATTAAATCGAATGGAATTCACATTTTAGTTACTGCCAAGAAAAAACTGTAGACTCAGTTGTGTCTAGCAAACAGCTCACAGCACACCTTGCTGCCATATACAGGTAATTCTTCTTTCCCTAGATTTCTACCATGACATTGAGTATAATTTGAGCATTTCTCACTGAGCTTTAAGGAAATTACAGCAGGGTCTGTTCAAACCAATGTGTTTTTAACACAGTCCAAAGACAGTAGGAACTCCTGGGAAAGCCATTAGAATGTTATGCACTTTGTACTCTATGGTGTCATTGAATAGAATTAGTACATGCACTTTGTACATACACTATATACTATATACTGGTACCACAATATTGGCTTTCAGTATGTATTTTGTCACCAAGGTAGGGCTGAGTGGTGTTTTTGTTAATAGAGAGTGTGTCAAATGTGTGCTAAAAAGCAGCTCTGGTATATATAACACAAGCAGTAACAACCAGTCCAACTCCCTGAGGGTTAAATATAACTTGCTGGAATGCAAACAACCACTTTCTAAACAAACATGCCAACATCATGCATCAATTCTAACTACAAATTTCTTCATTTTGTTTAAAGTATTTTCTGTTCACTGTTTAGACCTTCTACAGCAGGAGGCAGAAGTGATTTATAGTAATCCCTAGAAGTGACTTCTTTTTTGACATTGACTTGACCACCTGTGTTCAAGAATACAACATCAGTCCTTAACTAGCCATAAGGATCTGATTTGAAGGCCTTAGAGGACATTTTATAGCCTGCAAATGCAGTTGCTTTGAAAAATCGACTAATTTGCTTTATTTTTGTTTCAGCAACGAAGTTCATAAAATGTAGGGAAGAAATCATACTATTCTATTTATCTTTAGAAAAAAGAAAACTACTGGAGATGTTTTGTTAATAGTGGGAAACCTGGAAAGTTGGAAACCTAGAAAAATGGAAGGAGGGACCCCTCAGGAGCAGGGGCCATTCTGCATTGCAGCTTCAACAGTGTTACAATTTCCTCATTTGTCCCATACTACTGGATTCTCTGCCCCATGTGTCGGCGTTTGCCCTAGTGTTGTAGCAAGTTCCAAAGATGCCCCCACCACACTCCTTACTGGTATGTCCCTTTTAAGGTGGGTGCAGCAGTGATAGTGGATGACGCCACTTCAAAACCAAGTAGTAAAGTATATCACCAGCACACCAAAGTAAAATGTTAAACGAGTGGTCAGCTGTTGGATCATCATTTTAACTTAAGGTGCTGCTCTCCAACAAATGGATACAAATGATTATCACACTTCTTCTTTTGAGGTGTGAGCTACCTATATGTTACTGATCTTCATGAGAATTGCTCACCAAAGTCTATTTCCTCTCTCAGAATGAAGCAACCCTTAGAAGATGTGTCCTATATTGCAGACCTGACACATGACTCCTTAGATACAGGAGAAACTGCATTAATAAAACATTGTATCCTTCTGCTTCAATTCACTGCAAATCAAGGACACATTTTTACTGCAAAGCTTCACTAAGCTCGCTGAAACAACCTGAAAGAGGGGTGAGTGGAGAGATGAATGCAGAGTATTAAAAGATGGATTCTATGCACAAAGAAAAAAATGAGTACGTCTATAAATTAACGATCAACTGATGTTTTCTATAACAACCAGTCATATGTTAGCATCATTCTCTAACCTTCACTATACAATGTCAGCTATATACTACCTGGTTGTTGCTCATGGCAAGGTGTTGAATGCCAAAGAGTCTGATGGAGGCTGCAGGTAGGTTGGAGACAGGGGCCACTGTCACAGGGTCGTATTCAACTATTGTAGCCAAGGGGTCAGCGTGATTTATTTTTAGAAAGAAAGGTCAGAACTGTAGGCCCTATGTTTATCTCCTGACTTGGGTTACTTTCAACCACATTTCAGACAATTTTTATATCAAGAAGTGACATCATCCAATTTGTAGGTAACACCTAAAGCAACTTACATCCTTATGCCTATATGGGTTTAAAAAGTGTCCATTGTGGCCATTAAATCGAATGGAATTCACATTTTAGTTACTGCCAAGAAAAAACTGTAGACTCAGTTGTGTCTAGCAAACAGCTCACAGCACACCTTGCTGCCATATACAGGTAATTCTTCTTTCCCTAGATTTCTACCATGACATTGAGTATAATTTGAGCATTTCTCACTGAGCTTTAAGGAAATTACAGCAGGGTCTGT